ATTGTGAAAGATAAAAGCATGTATGGTGAAGTATAGCCTGATGATGGACGAAGCTCGTCCGAAATCGATAGCGACGAATTAATAAACTTTTAATAAAAATTAGTGTAATACAACTTCGTTAACTATTATCTTTTTAGATTAAAAAATACAGGGTGTTCTATTAAAAAAATTAGATTAGGCCCGATATCTTTTTTACCTAAGTCTGTTATATAACTTATTTTGAATACGGCAGAGTGAAAGATTGTTTAATAATAATAACAATTACGGATATACCCTACAAAAAATGTCGAAAATCGGACAACCTGTATAGTAGGTACTAATATATTAATGTAAAATACGAACGCTTGTAACAACGCTTTACAAAACTAATTTCAGTGCATGGACTATTTATAACTGACTTTGTCTACGGAGTGGCGGAAAGTATGGAATGCAGCGAGCTACAGCTTAACATTCGTTATAATTTGAAAAAGTGTGAGATGAGTTTTTATATTGTATTATGCAGTTTTGACGTTACGAATGAGTAAGATTTCATGTTAGTGTTGTTACATGAGCTTTCATGTTTTTGATTTAAATTACATTAAAACTAAATTCTTGGAGTCGAGAACTTCGAGTGTTAAAACCCTACTAACCCATTTGAAGCCCATCGTTAGAGCAGTGTTTCTCAAACTAGGGGGCGCGCCCTGGAAGGGGGGGGAGAAGGGATTGTTAAGTTGGGGGCGAATCCCTGATGTGTTTTAGGAAATATTTACCTTTAAAATTATTTATATTTAGGTATTTTTATGTAATTGTTTTGACAATTCTTTCACCAATAGAAGGTATCTACAATTCGGTAAATTCCTTTTTGAAGTTTGACAATGATTGCAGTGTGCGATAATGATGGTGCTAATGTGTATAAAGAAGATATCTCGATAGACTAAAACGACTAAAAGACCGTTGATGTTATGGATGCAATATCCGACTTGATTGAACTAATATTTTGGGCTATACAACTTTTTTAGCAGTCAGAAAGTTGAGAAAGCTTTTGTTAAATTATTTTTGATATTTTGAAAATAAAATGGAGCAGCGTATTTCGAAAATGCATTTTTCGGTTTTTTTTAGGCATAACTTCGTATTTGTAATACCTATGATTTTCTCGGAAGGGACATTTAATCACATACAATTTTGCATAAATTTGCCAAACGGTTGTATTCTTACGATTTCCGATGCCTATGGATGAAAAAAAACCTCACCTGTAATTCTTTTAAATATACTTTTGTAGTACAGTAGTAAATTTATTTTTAATCGGGATAAGGGGAGGGGGGGGCGTGATAGTGATTTAGTTTTTTATGAAGGGGCGCATGGAATAGTTTTGAGAACCGCTGGTCTAGAGGATTATAAAAACTAAAAAAAATAAGGGTGTTATAATTTAAAAAATATGTACTGAATCGTTGAAATGAGTTCCTGACGAAAAAAACTTCCGCAGTCAAACTGCATAATGATAGATATCAAAGCACTTTCATCTCCACTTTTTTCATATAAAAGATGGTTAAGCGCTGTAGCTTCGCTGATTCCGATACTGTTTTTCCGCCACTCTGTAATACTTATATGAAGGCTCTTTGCAATATTTCATACTATGTCATATACGTGGAATGGCATTAAAATTTTATTTTTAAAGAATAAAAAACGTGGGCTTAATTTTTATTTCACTTAATATTTAGCTACATGCAATAAAATTTGATAAGTAAGAATTGATTAAATTTCTTTTCAAATCTAAAAATCTGATTTAATAATACACAAGCTGCATCTAAGGAAAATTTGGAACTTTTATTTATTATTTAATTATACTCTGATTGTATCTGGGCCTCAACAAGGTTCGCGCCATAGAGAGTGACCTCATAATGCCTTTTTTAGAAGGGACATAAGTACAGAAGCAATTTTTTTATGATTTTAACACTGGAATAGTAATAATCAAAAAGAATGTATTATTTTAGACTGAGTTTTCCCCACCAATTGGCAATCCTGTATGTACTTGCAGACCATGCTCTCGAATAGTGATAACATTTTGCATGGTTTCAGCTATATCAAAGGTTTAGTAATTGGTGTAATCTGTACGAGATTTTGGACAGGTTGTACTGTTTGGGTGAACTTTAATGTCATAAACGATAATTAACTAGTTTATTTTTGGAGGTACAGGGCGAATGATAAAGTTGGACTTTTTGGGGATTTATCAATATGCAGTGCAAAATGTTATTAAAGTAGCAAGTGTCATTTGAGAAGAATTGTCGCAACGAGGTAGTTTGCCGCATAAGCGCGTAGCGGCGATGCGGCAAAAGCCGAGTGCGAAAGTAGACAATGGAACGTGTGCTTTATACTATTTTTTCTATTTTTCGACTTGTTATTTACAATAATATTATTACAAAATATAAATATTTGCCTTTAGGCGTTGTTTTAGGTAATTCTTAAACATTCATTCAGTTTGTTGGTAATGACACAATTCATTTTATTTTTCAACGTTGGCTATATGATTACTGTTATTTTCAGACTTCAACTTTTTAATTAGGTATATTGGTCATAATTCCTTTTGCGGCAGTTATGAGAATAAGGATGAAAACACGTCCTTTGTACCACAGAGATCCAAGAGATTGCAATGAAGCGACGTTAATTTACTGCCTGTAAAATCGATAAAGTAAAGTAGAGGAGTACACATTTTTGAAAACTGGTGGCCGAGAAGGAGATTTTCAAAGTAAGCAAGAATGTATGCTGGCATATTTTACTAGCTAAGAAAAATAAAAAGGTTCTACCTTTGGCATATATTACTAATTCAAAATTCATCGGAATTAATACAGATCGGTCAGTTCTCGTACGTTTTTACACTTTTTTACAGGTTTGTTTAGTTTTGATTTGACGGTACGTTGCAGCAAAACAGCGAGGGTACAATCGCAACAAAATAAAAATAAGTGCGTTTCTATTTTTTCGGCATCATTTTCTGTCTAGAAAGCACGCACTGGGCCAATAAGATACGGGTTCGGGTATTGTTTCACATCGAGATGAAAATTAGTTAATTAATTAGCGATTTTTGAAATTTTTTTCTTCTATTGAATAAAGTAAATCATCAACGTTTAATGAAATAGCAATGTTGTGTGATTACTCGAATCCGAATTTCGAATTTGTATGACTATTGTACTTTAGTTACGAACCCCCATGTGGAGTGAAAAAAACTCGCCCTGTATATGGTTTTCCAAAAGTCCCGAGATTGGAAATTTCGTGATCAATAAAGTGCCATAAAAACACTACATTTTAAACTGTTTAAAACTTTGACACCCTTTTTAAATTGTAACCCTGTCGAGTTTTACCTTATTTTAAAAGTAATTAAAAAAGATTTATGGGGATTACTTTTGCAATAAGGTGAAACTCGACAGTGGTTACAATTTAAACATTTTGGGGTCACACGCTAAAAAACTTTAAATCTCGCTTTAAATCATCTCAAACGCAGGTTATAGCAACTACTCCAAATGTTACAGAGAAAGAACATAAAAAATCCAGTATAATCAAAATTTTCCCAAAGAGGTGAGCAAAAGAAAAATGAATATTTGAATATGAATGTTCGAATGAACCAGGTGTGGGAATAGGACGTTAACGTTATTTAAAAAGGAAACGCGATCTGTTGCACAAGTTTATAATACCTTCATCATTAGTGCAGTTGCTTCTATAAACCACACTACATTTTTAGAGTGGATTGGCTCTCAATGAAAACTACGACCTAGCAAAATTGACAACAAATGCAAATTCCCGTAGCTGTGGAAGCGTTTAACAATTCTAGAAAACAAGTGCTGTCTCCACCAAAGCAATCCAATTCGATGATACCATTCTGCAACTTTTTATTTATTTATTTATTGTCTCTCTCTTGTTCTGGGCCCTCAACAGATTTGTGCCCAATTACAGAGTGGCCCGCATAGTGCTTTTTAGAGATGCCCCTGCAGAAGGTCTCAAGTTGTTCTATACTACTCCGGTATTTACCTTACGAATTAGGGAAACTGCAGGAAAACCTAATTCGAAATTGATCTAAGGAAATTCACATCTCTGCCACAGATGAAAAATCCTTACCTCGGCACAATTTCGAACACGTGACCTCCGGTTATGTATCCCAACCTTAGACAAGGAAAGAATATGGACGCATAATTCGCAAGCAATTGTTACCATCTGCCACATAATGAAATTGGCCAGTGGCGTAGCATCCGTAAATGCGAATAGTAGCAGAACAGAGACTTGCTATAACAAGTTATAACAAGTCTCTGTAGCAGAAGTACCTAAAAAAATAATAAAAATAATAAAGCACGTTGAATATACGAATGGAATTCGTGCGTTGCGCTATTTATTAATCAGACACGGCTATAAACGAAACTTCCGCTTTTCTTTTTTCGGGAATGCCTTTTAAACTAACTGTCTCTCCAGCTAAAGATTGTATGAAAATATGAATCTTCATTGTTTTCTGTTTGATTTTTCACGTAAAAGCTGTTGCCGCACAAAATTTCTCTTTGAAAAACACGGATTGCTAATGACTACGCCTATGGAGTTCCGTCCTTGAAGACGTTGGTTATCAAAATTTGAATGCATGGGATTGGTTCTGTTGTAGGAAATTAAGTCTAGTCGTTCATTAAGCTATGAATTTTAACATATTAAAAGAAAAATGTTCAAAGAAAAAGCTTTATGATTAAAAATAGGAAAATATGTGGTAACGGCATTAGGCACATTTTCAATATTTACGTCTGAAATGAAATTCCAGGTTCCTCCTTCTCACTACGACTTTGCATCCACAATCTGCACAATTCGCCATGATTTCAAGTTGTTTTTTGTGTATTTCCTCTCAATTTAAGCGCAAAAAAACGATGTTACTTAAATGACATTTGTGCCACATATAAAATGGCATACGCGGTATCCAACTCTTTCCTAATCTAAGATCCCAACGCTCTACCACTGAGACACATTTTTGGCGCAGTATAAATTGAAACTTCGGCATTTACTATTTTTATTTATTGGCTTTCTGCATTATCCGAATAAAGATCACCGTACGGCGAATCCGAATCTTGATCGGCAGGAGTCGATTTTTTCTTTTTGCTTTTTTTCTTTCTTTTGGATTTTCTGCAAGATAGTGACGTGGTACTCTTTTTACTTTCTGCCCCGTTAGTTTGCGTTGTTTCTTCGCTTGTTGCAGTTTCCCTATTTGTCGTTGAGGTTTGTAATGAACACTGGATGGCATCTACAAAGAAAGTAGGTGAGATGTTTTTGCCCATAAGAGAAATTCACAAGTACGTGTACTGTTCGGCATATCGGCCGTGGTGGTTGATTCCTCATAATGAAATTTAAGTGGCGTTGGATCTGGTTGTAGCATTAACTCTAATCGATTTGGATCCTGTGGAGGCCAGCATTGCGTGTACAAAGGGCTAAAAAGAAGATATCAAAAAACTTCTACTGCGGTCCTTTTCTTTACTTGGGTGACTGATTCGTGAAATGATGACCAACTTGGTTAAACGAAAATGATAAACCACCAGGAAAAAACTCTTTTAGTCCAGGAATTATATCACATTGCGAATTATTATACATAAGGTAGTTTCTGGCAGGGTAATAACTGTTGCAGGCTGTTTTTTTAAAAGGTAAACCATTTTTGTAAATTGATGTTATTGATTGCTCGTAAAGCGAACGCTTAGTTAAGTTAGTAATCACCACCGGTTCATTGCCACATCTTGATGGTGCTGAAACATTTTTAAGAATTTGATTTGGTTATGGTCTTTTACCTGAGGAGTAAGTGGTTTCAGTTGAAATATTTGTACTTTGTGATGTAAATGGTTTGTTGGTCATTTTGAGATGAGTGAGATACTGATGAATTTGACGGACGTATGACAGATCAGCTCCTAATCACATCATCCGTACCGTACTTTAAGCTTGTTCTGATTTGTGTGAAACGTGCAGTCTGTATGAATAAATTTTTGTTTTTTTTGTTACAGATGAATTTCGGATTCACCCCGTCTCCGATTGTTAGCACAGAGCCGATAGATTGCACGGATTCAATTTTGGATCTCTGTACGCGACGAGGACCACGCCCACCATCTCTAGCTCAAGACCCTAAGCAGACCCCGCATTCGAACCTTAAAACCCCCTTTATGTACAATGATTTATCGGAGGATAGCAAGCACTCGATTCACTTAAACATGAAGAACCCGCTGATGTACACAGAAATGCCATCCTCAACGGTTGGTGTTTCCAGTCCTGGCTCCGAAACATCAGACATATCAACATCGTCCGATTTATATCGTGACGTACACCCGTCGCCATCGTATATGCCAAAGGTGAAAATTCCTCGTCCATTCAAAGCGTATCCAAAGAATCCATTATCGCTGACGGCAGCCGAATGCGTCCTCAACAAAACGTCAACGGAAGCGTATGAGGAATTTCGGAAACGAATGCTGTCCCAAGTGCAGACAGGGGGCGCAGGTATTACGAATAAGAACATGCGAAGAGTCCCCCCAACAAACAACCTCCACAATCGCAACGACGCCAGCTACTGGGAGAAGCGTAGGAAAAACAATGAAGCGGCCAAACGTTCGAGAGATGCCAGAAGGGCAAAAGAAGATGAACTTGCGATTAGAGCCGCGTTTTTGGAAGGAGAAAACCTTCACTTGCGATGCGAACTTGCGAACATGCGAATAGAATTAGAAGAGCTGAGAAGCGTCGTGTATCGACGTCCAGTGCAAGCTTAGGATATTGTTAAGAATTAAGACTGTCCACTCTGGTGATCAATAATCTTGTCATTAGTTATTATGTATTAATAAGTTACTTGCGGTGCATTATGTAGTTTATAAAGAAAATACAGTATTAGAATTTATAAATGTTTATTAGGACGTTACAGTTCTTGGTTCCAGGAACATATTCTATTTGTATTTATGAATAACATTGATAGATGTTGGTTGATGCATTTAAGAATTCTTTCAAAACATGTAAAAAAAGGTTCTACTAAATTATTGCATTAATAACATTCCTTGCTCAAAAGGCACTTTGAATATCTGGGGCATCCAAAGGCCTGTAAAGAACGATAGTTGGGATCAAGCCTAGATTTTGCTTGAGTTAGATCCAAGCGGAGCGTAAGAGACTTATTTTCTGTGTTGGTTACTTTAAAATTAGTGGTTGTTTAAATCCGATGCGCATAAGACACCGTAAACAACCCTCAATTTTAACGGAGGATATGAAAGTGAATATTTTAATTTTTGTGGAAGAGAATCCCATAAGAAACTTAAGGGAAAAAGCGGCCCAATTTAATATATTTTCATCATAACCTAAAAGCATGCTATTTACTGTCGTTTTTATTGAAATCTAGAATGACAGTAGGTACTAAATTCGTGCGCATGTTATTTTGGCTGCATAAAATTAGGCGTCTTTCAGAAGACTTTTTGTGACTTTGTGAATAACACTGTATGGTATTGTGGCCGCTTCCTTTGTCCATTCGTCCGTCGTAAACTATTTCTAAGATTTTCAAAATACATATTCACTTACGTTTTTACTTTGCCCCGGCAGCACAGGAAATTCTAAAAAAAGGGCTTTTAGAGACCATACGCGATCGTAGATCTTTATCAGTCGTTCAGAAGGTTTAAAAGTATTGTCACAGTTCGAACACAGAGATTTTGAAGTTTTCTATACTCTGTTTTTTAACTAGGAAGACGGATTTAAAAGTTCCCGCAAAAAATCTTAGTTTCTATTGGCTCACGCTGCGCCCGTTTTACACCCAGGTAAAATTGCTATTGACATAATTTAACTGTCAAATTTAATCGCGATTCTCGTCCTTAACTGTTGTACTTATTTTTGAGTTTTCGTGTGTTCTGAGTCCTTTTGCATAAATTTTAACAAAATAAAACAGTTCTTTTAAGAACTAAAGTTGATATTTCGCGTCCTAAGTGTACTGGCATTGGTGATGGGTTCAACTCCAAGTACCAGTAAAGCAAGCTTGTCTCCTTTGAAAAAACGTAGTCGCTTAAACTTGGGTCAATTTATCAGTCTCCGAGAAGCAGTTTATTATAAACACTTATAAACAAATGTTATCTGATACTCGGAATATGAATTTTGATATGCTTGTGTTGAAGATTGCATCTACCACAGGTAACGTAAATAATGATGTAGGTATATATTTGGTTATTAAAGTTTGACACATATTAGGAATTGCACGATCTACAGTATACCGGATAATTAAAGAAGATCGAAGTACTGGGATTGATACCCCTTCGAAACGTCCCGATGGTCATAAAGCTGTTGCAAATGTGTGCTCTGACGATTGGCGGAATTGTGTGCAACACGTTATTAAGGAAGAAAGTAAGATGTGTAGATTGGATGGCCTAATGGATACACTTATAGAACCATTAATTATTTCACTCGGATCGGAGGACAGTGACAGTTTTAGTGAACTTTCGGAAGACAGTGTCTAAATCGCTTATACATAAAACAGTGAACTGTGCTGTTTAATAATATGAATATAATTCCATTGCTCTGAATTTGTTCAATAACTTAACATTTGTTGTAAATTGTAATGTGGATTGTGTAGTATTACAACTGATAAAACATTTAAAACTACAATTCAACATAATGTTTCAAAGGCCAAAAAATGTATGTCGGATTATTACCTATTATCAATGTATTACCTATTTATTATAATTCGCTTTTAAAAGTGTGATGTATGCATAATATAAAGTAGTTCCTATCAAATAATAACCCAAAAGCATAAATAATGAAATCTATCCAAATGTGAAAGAAAAACACATCACGCAACACCCTGCGCAACACACAATACATGACTGTATAAAATGAGTCTATAATTTTTGTTACTAGATTCTAGTGACATTTTCAGTGTAAATCAGGTTTTTAAATCCGTCTTCCTAGTTAAAAAACAGAGTATAGCACCTTCTATAGTATTCTAAGAACCATTAAAAATGTTTAATCACTATGGTCCCCCAAGAAGTTTGTAAGGGTCTCTATGAGTTTCTGCAGTTTTTTATTCCGCAAGATACATCTATTCCCCTTTAAGAATATTCGAGAATCCTTTAGAGCTTAATAAAATGATCTACGATTTCTACAGTCTTTAATAGTATTTACGTTAAGAAAATTCAAAAGCATCCACCTTGGAACCTTTAAGGGATTTTAAGGGCACCCTTAACGGTTGGTACATCTTTAAGAAGAAGCTTTATTAGTGTTTAAAAATATGTAAGAGGCTTCATGAATCATCAAATTTTTCTTTAAGGGATTCTTTCAAGATTAGGTATACAAAAGTCATATAAAGCTGTTTAAAATCTGTATAAAGAGCCTCCATGATCATATGCTCAATTAGGAAAAAATCTATTGCACATCGCAATTATCATAAATATAATGATAGTATTTACTTGCATGAGTTCAAAGCTTTGCGTAAACTACTTAAATCGCAGCTGACTTTAGCATATAAAAGTCATTTATATAAATTACAAATGTCTGTGAGAACTAATCCTAAAGAATTTTGGAAATTCATAAATTCAAAGAAAGGTTCTTCACGTATTCCTGGCATAGTTAACTATAATAATAAGTGTTATTCTAGTCCGGACTCAGTTGTTAATGCTTTTAAGAGCTATTTCATTAGCGTATATCGTGTTCCGTCAAGTTATTCTTCTTCGAATTTTAATTTAAGCAGTTATCAACAAAACATATGTATTGGTACAATTACTGTTGATGATATTTTACTGGCCATTCGTAAACTCAAAAATAAAACTTCCATAGGGCCCGATTTAGTACCATCCTTTATAGTTAAGGACTGCGCTCAGGTGCTAGCTCCTCCGCTAGCGTTTTTATTTAATCTTGCTTTACGTTCCCAAAACTTTCCTAACCTTTGGAAGATTGCAAATATATGTCCTATATTAAAAAGTGGTGATCCTGCGGACATTCGTAACTATCGTCCCATCAGCATTATAAATAACTTTGCTAAAATTTTTGAAATCATCCTCTACAGTCGTATATATCCTCACGTTAACAGACTAATATCCACTGATCAACATGGATTTATGGCGCAACGTTCTACAATAACCAATCTTGCCTGCTTTTCAGATTTTGTAACCAAAAAACTTGACCACAGAGGAGGTCAAGTTGACGTTATCTATACCGATTTCAGCAAAGCATTTGACGTTATTTCGCATGACATATTATTGTTATGAAGCTCAGTAGCTATGGATTTCATCATTCGCTGGTTAATTTTTTAAAAACATACCTTAGAGACAGAGTCCAACGTGTAGTGTATAATAATCATGTGTCAGGCGTGATTACTGTCACATCGGGTGTCCCGCAAGGTTCCACCCTGGGGCCCCTATTATTTTTACTATTTATTAATGACCTTACAGATACAATTACTTGCAACAAGCTCCTCTTTGCAGACGATTTAAAAATTTTTTGTTCAATTAATTCAGTGCAAGATTGCTTATTCCTCCAACAGCAACTTAATTTAGTTCTTCACTGGTGTTGTACTAATGAGTTGCCTCTGAATGTATCTAAATGTAAAGTGGTCTCGTATACAAAAAGAAATCAACCTATCGAGTTTAGTTATCTCCTTGACTCAATTAAGCTAGATCGCACAGATCTTGTCAAAGATCTAGGTATTTATTTTGACCATAAACTTACTTTTACGCATCATTATACCACTTTGTGTCGTTCTGCGATGCGTACCCTTGGATTCATTGTGCGCAATACAAGGTCTTTCACAGAATTGGATTCGCTGAAAACATTATACTTTGCACTTGTGCGTAGCAAACTCGAATACTGCTGTGTGATTTGGTTTCCTCGCCACAAAGTGCACATCAACATGATCGAATCTATCCAAAGACGGTTCTTAAAAATGCTGTATTTTAGGGAGGAACGAGTTTATCCTGTTCGCGGGTTCAACCATGACCTTTTGCTATCTAAGTACAATTTTAGCTCCCTCGAAAGCAGGAGGAAAGTTGCCTGCCTTACTTTTCTGCATAACATTATTCACAATAAATTGGATGCACCTTATTTGTTGTCATCCATTAATTTTCATATTCCTTCATACAATACTCGTTTCAATGTCTCATTCTCTAGAACTACTCACCTCGCACAAATATTTTATACAAATCTCCTATTGTAAACGCATGTAAATTATTTGATTCAATTTGCCCGAATATTGACTTATTTCATTCCACATTACTCGAAATGGTTAGTTATATTACGTATTAGTTAATAATTTTTGTTTACCCCTTAGATTGCATTTCCTGTTTTGGTATATCTGTTTATTTAATTATTTTCTTTTATTGTTATTCACGGATTTTTGCGTACTACTATGTTACACACTGTATAAGGTTAGAATTTCGTTTCATTTTCTTTATATTATTTTGTACTCTATACATATTAATCTGTTGTTGTCCTGTAATTGGAAAATGTATTTTTTTCTGTTGGACATTAAATATTATTATGAGTGTCCAATAGTTTCGAAAGTTCTCCAAAATGTATTGACGTTTAATTCTTCTTAGATTATGTAAAAGTTTTGAAAATCTTTAATACAAGAAACCTCTTCTTTCACAAGTCTTTAAAAGCCTTATGGTGACCTACCCCGACGGTTAGGCATCACACACTGCATCAAACTGTACGCTGAAGATATGCACTGTGTTTATCGAGAGCTATTTGATGCTGTTGAATAAGTCCTTTGATGATTTTGGGCAGTAGCGCGAACAGGAGTTAAGCAAAA